TACAATTAAAAAATTCACAATGTCACCAGAATTATTAATTCCGAAAAATAATCACACTAGGGCACCCGCAATAGTTCCAATTTTCAATAGTTATCTTTTGTGTGTTTATTCTTTAGACTTTTTCAGCATAACATTTAATGTTTGCTGCCAGTTGAGTACAAGTGTTATACTGTATTTATCACTTAAGAGTGGTAATTGATGAAGATAAAATCTAATTCTTATTTTCGCAACCATTTTAGTCTTTAAAATTGACAATAAGTTTTCAGCAATAAATTTGTTATTGTCTGGAGAGAATATATTTTTCTGCAAAAAAGAAGGATGATAATATGCATCTTACTACCATTTGATCTGTTTTATCGACACAAACTGGTAGAAAGAAATTCGTCTGGCGTGGGATCGGCATATATAATAACTAATTCACTTTATTTCAATTCTCATTTTTTAATATTAATTTTGTGGTTTGTAAAAAATCGTAAGAAATGTAATGCAAAATAATAAAAAAATTTATTTTAAGAAAATTTTCCTGAATTATGAACAATTTTACACTCCTGTTTGTAAACACAAATTTGGTATAGCAAAAAATTAGCTAGATTTTTGTTTTGTCTCAGATAAAGTAAAAAGGATCATCTAGACCAGTGATTCTCAACCACTGTGCCGCGGCACTTTTGTGTGCCGCCAAATTCTTAAAATGTGCCGCCAAATATTAGAAATGATACAGTAAAAATTATAATGCTTTTTTAATTACGAGTAAAGTTTAAATTAAAGAAAAGTGTATATTATAATTTTTCCACTCTTTAACCGCGGGAACATCTTTGTCAGCGATTGTCTTGTCTCTGACAATCTTAAAATAAGAAGAAAGTGTTTAAATTGTCGTTGACAATTTTAAAAAATGTTGAAATAAGTAGGAAATTTAATGATCATTAAAATTATTAATTATCAAAGGAAAGCAAAGCTAAATATTAACTTTCAAACTTAAATAACTTTATTTAAGTTTGAAAGTTAATATTTAGCTTTGCTTTCCTTTGATAATTAATAATTTTAATGATCATTAAATTTCCTACTTATTTCAACATTTTTTAAAATTGTCAACGACAATTTAAACACTTCCTTCTTATTTTAAGATTGTCAGAGACAAGACAATCGCTGACAAAGATGTTCCCGCGGTTAAAGAGTGGAAAAATTATAATATACACTTTTCTTTAATTTAAACTTTACTCGTAATTAAAAAAGCATTATAATTTTTACTGTATCATTTCTAATATTTGGCGGCACATTTTAAGAATTTGGCGGCACACAAAAGTGCCGCGGCACAGTGGTTGAGAATCACTGCTCTAAATGACATTTTTAAAAATGCATGCATTAGCCAAAGATTTGAAGGTAAATAGGCAGCTCTACCGTTAATCTACTCAGGACATAAAGTGTATAGAAAATTAGGAGGCATCATATTACGTCTAGCTTATACTGGTATATAAATTCGATGTTTTTTTCTACTGAACCTAGGAAGAGAAACACTGATGTTTGATAGTTCTAATTT